TGATGTTTTTCTTAGTTCATATCTTAGATGTTATTACTGTTTTTCTTTTACATTTTATTGTCGGATGTAACTGGGACCCCGTGTACATAATTTCGCTCCACCACATGTACCACATGAGGTGCGAATGACAATAAAGAAACTCTGACTCTGACTCTTACATTATGGAAAATAATGACCTTTATCACAATATGCTATTTTTTTGAGAATGACCTGTAGGTCCAAAATGAAATGCAGAAGCACTCTCAAGAACAGTATATATGAGGTTTTTTAATTATAAACAAAAATATATGGTATACAAAGCAACTAAAGTAAAGACGGATATCCTCTACTAGAACCATTGGGTTAGATTCTACAATGACGTCACTATGGAGATACACAAACAACGCAAACAATATGATAGAATCCGCAAGCATCTCTGCGAGCTTGGGCTGACACATGGCATCATCCCTCCGGCTAAACTGGTACCGACATAACAAGAGGAAACTTTCAAGTTCAACACGCCAGCGGAGGTCCAAACATTCATCGACAAGATTCAAAAAGGGCAGATAAGTGTAATGGAGTGACTGAATAGATTAAGAACTGATGGAGCGTAATTTCAGCGCATTTCTTTGCAAAATATATTTTTAGCTTAGTTCATCACTAGGTTCATAATATATAATTGGGAATGGTTCCGAAATGTACTCTTTATTAAATATATTTTGAATTTATTGGTTCATTGTTTTATTAAGAGGTTCTACCTTTGTTGTGCATATTAGAAACCACCTCACATATATAGGGATAACTAGATTGTTTGAATAGCAGGAGAAAGTCAGGTGCAGTAATTTTTGCTTGTTAATTGAGGCTTAAGGTCAAGGGAATGGATCATACCATACCACTTTATTTATAAAGCACTTAAAACAGCGACAAGGCCAACCAAAGTGCTGTACAGACAGAACAACAGGTAACACACAAAGCAAAATACAAAATGAGGTAAATCAGAATATAGACATAAAAACGATGCAGATAATTACGACAAACCAGTGTGGAGCATACAGGATCAAAACACAGATCATCTGGTGTAGAAAGCCACCGAATAGTAGTGGGTTTTTAAACGGGACTTGAAAACCGAGAGGGAGGGGGCCTGCCTGACAAGCAGACGTAACTCGTTCCAAAGTCTAGGTCCTGCTACAGAGAAGGCCCCGTCACCTCTGCGCTTAAGACGAGATCCTTAAACTGTGAGGAGCAACTGGTCCGCTGACCTCAGGGAACGCGGTGGGACATACGGTTGTAGCAGATCAGAAAGATAAGGGGGGGGGTGACACTGTTCAGTGATTTGTAGACATACAGGAGTATTTTGAACTGGATTCGAAAGTGAACCAGTAACCAGTGCAGTGAGGCAAAAACTGGTGTAATGGGCTCTCTTTTGCCTGTACTGGTTAAAAATGGGGCTGCTGCATTCTGGACCAGTTGTAGTCGTGCAATGGAGGTCTGACCGATACCAAACAGGAGCAAATTGCAGTAATCAAGCCTAGATTTAATGAATGCGTGTATTACCGTCTCCAGATTATTTATGGACAATATGGGCTTCAGTTTAGACAGCCGCCTCAATTGGAAGAAACATGATTTAACAATCATGTTTACGTGATTGTTAAGTTTCAGGGAAGGGTCCATTATCACGCCCAGATTAGTGACTCTTTGTTTTTCTGACAGGGTTAGAGCAGAAAGGTCGATGCAGTGGTTTGTGATTGTGTCATTGGGAGGGAACAACATGACTTCAGACTTCTTTTCATTGAAACTCAAGAAGTTTAACGCCATCCAGTCCCTGATGTCAGCCAGGCAGTCGAGCAGCGGTTGAATAGAGCATGTACCATTGTGTCTTAGGGGGAAGTAAATTTGACAGTCATCAGCATAGAAGTGGAAGGGCATGTTGTGTTTCCGGAAAATAGCACCAAGCGGCAGCAGGTATAAAGAGAATAGGAGGGGACCCAGGATGGACCCCTGCGGAACCCCCCATTTAAGCTCTGCCTCTGCAGAACTAAAATCCTTGATGGAGACAAAAGGATCTGTCAGTGAGGTAAGATGTGAACCAATTGAGGGCTGACCCTGTGACGCCCACCCACTGCTCTAACCTAGCAATGAGAATCTCATAGTCAATGGTGTCAAAGGCGGCTGTGAGGTCCAACAGGACAAGCAGCACAGAATCACTGGTATCTGTGAATCTGAAGATGTCGTTAAAGACCTTCAGCAGGGCAGTTTCAGCACTGTGGAGGGGTTTAAAGCCAGATTGGAATAGCTCTAAGATGGTGTGACCTTCCAGGAAGCACTTCAACTGGGACTCGACTATTTTCTCCAGTAGTTTAGAAACAAATGGGAGTTTGGAGACAGGCCGGTAGTTGGAAACGACTGAGGGGTCAAGGTTTGGTTTTTTTCAAGAGAGGCTGGACAGCAGCATGTTTAAAGGATTTTGGCACCACGCCAGTGGATAAACTACTGTTTACTATATCAAGAATGGACGGACCTAGAGTTGGAAAAACCTCCTTTAGTAGTCGAGGGGGGACCACATCAAAGGGGGAGCCAGAAGGTTTCAAGCTGCACATGACCTGCTCTAGAGAAGATAGAGTGATGGGTTCAAAATGGTCAAAAGGAGCTACAGATTGAGGTGGGATGGATGGGTCATGAGTTGGAGGGGAAACGAGAGCTCTGGTGGTCGCAATTTTTTCCGAAAAGAAATGTAAGAAGTTGTCGCACAGCTCAGCTCGTTAGCATAAATTAATCCACTTCACCTAATTATTTAAACTTTCATGTTCCTAGAACAACTGGTCGAGATGGAGGAGTCTGTCAGTTAGGATCATTAATTAATGCTAAATCAATTATGAGCAAAAATTGAATGTAAAATACAGAAGAAGTCATGTGTAAACGGCATTTTCAATATGTGGATATGGATATGCCTTACTTTAACATGTGTACACCCTCTGGGGTGGTGGGCTGGTTGAAGCGTCTCATGTAGTCATGCATCTCTGGAAAACTCTTCTTCATGTAATCCTCAGCACTGCTCTCCCTCACTGTCCCAAAGCGGAAGCCAATCGAGGGGTGGTGCAGCTGGGAGAGTGACACAGACGAGATGTAAAAATAATCTTAAACTCAGATTAAATTCAATGCAGCCCTCCCAACACCCAAAACAATTTTGTATTTTAAAAAGTAAAAACCAATTAGAAATAATTCTGCTCTTTGCTTGTTAGCTTGTTTTTGTGTGCGGTATGTGCACGTTCATTGAAAAGAAAGTTTATGTCTATGCATTTAGTTGAACCTTTTCATCGTGAATTCCTGAAACCTGTTCGAAGGTCTTTTCCCCAACCATGACTGCTGCAAGGTTGGCAGTGTAGCTGGACAGCACCAGCAGACAGAAAATAGCCCAGAGGTTCATTAGGAAGCGCCCTGTCCAGCATTTAGGAGTCTGTAAAGAGAAGACATACACCAAGAAATATATTTTAAATAGTTTTGTCATGCATTTGGATATTTGGATATACATACATACACACACACACACACACACACACATATATATACACACACACTCACACACATATATATACACACACACACGCATATATATACACACACACACGCATATATATACACACACACAC